AACTGCTGTAATCTCTCTTCTTGTTTAATTTCTCATTCTTCTTGTTTCTTTTCTTTTTCCAGTTGCCAGTGCTATAGTTTGATTTCCCGCTTCTCATTTCCATTTTTTTTTATCCCACTTTCTGATACCAATTTGTTACGTCTCCATTTGTTAATTGATTTTCCGTAACTTCGTTCTGACGAAACTTAAGCGACACAAGTTCTTTCTTAATAAAATCTGGTTTATCCTTTCCGAATACAACTTTACCGATACACTCAACTTCAAGAATCGTGCTAAACAAACGCTATAACGACGAATGTGGTCAATAATACTTCTGACTGCAGATCAATTACTCACTGTCTACCCACACATTACATTCCCCTCTTTTATGTACCAGCCTACCCTATATCTAGTAATTACTAAAGCATTCGCCAAAGTACAGGATAGTTCTAGAAACGTGGCGTCACAGTGGTCATGTGACTCGCTGACGCAACAGTACTTTAAATTTGTAGATGATATTGATGTCTTGGGTGTTGCTAGCTGTGAAGAGGATGCTGCTGATTTAAAAAAGGATTTAGATGATTTAGTGAGTTGGGCAAATAAATGGCAGATGAGTTTTAATTATAATAAATGCAAGATTAGCATGTGGGTTATCACAATTGGAATTATAAGTATAATTTGGATGGGAATAACCTTAACAGTGTCATGAAAGAAAGGGATCTTGGTGTAATAGTTGATCAGTCTCTTAAGCCATCCAAGCAGTGTGCTGTTGCTAGTGGTAGGGCAAATAGGATTTTAGGTTGTATCTATAGAAATACTGAATACAAGTCTAAAGAGGTTATACTTTCATTGTTCAGGTAACTGGTTAGGTCACATTTGGAATATTGTGTTCAGTCTTGGGCTCCTTACCTTAGGAAGGACATTCAATTGTTGGAAAGGGTTCAGAGAAGGGTTACCAGAATGGTGCCTGGGATGGAGGGGTTGTCATACAATGAGAGGCTGAAATCTCTCAAATTGTTTTCTCTTGAAATAATAAGAGTTAGGAGTGATCTGATTGAGGTGTTTAAGATTGTAAAGGGAATTCATAGTGTCAATGCATCATTTTTTTTATATTTAACAATGAGAATAGTAGGACTAGGGGACACAAATATAAATTTTAGCAAGGTAGGAGTCATCTTCAGCTAAGACAGTTTCATTTTTTCTAACAGGGTGGTTGGCTTTTGGAATGGGTTGCTTTCAGATGTTTTAGAGGCAGTAAATTTATGTGAGTTTAAGAAAAGCTTAATAAATATATATGAATGAAAAGGGCTGGGTTTAAAATTTTTTATTTAATTTATTTAATCATTTTAATTTAGTTTTGAGGATGGAACAGCTGGTCCCATGTTGTCCCAAAATATTACGTTATGTTAACAATTTATTTAATACTTGATGCATTAGTGTAAGCCACAACTTTTCATTCAGGTTAGAAACCAGATCCCATTTTTGTTAATTTATTGTAGTGATTTTTTAATTACACTGTTTTAATCAGATTAGTTCTAGAATTACCAATAAGGACCATATGGACCTTCATTAAGTTTTTAAACACATTTTATAAACTATTTATACACCAAATTACTTATGTATTTATGAATTAGCCACAAACTTTCTAATAACATATCAATCACACAAAAATAAATTAAAAAATATCATTTGTATTGATATTAATGTCATTTATATTGATATTAATCCCACGAAATACTGCTGGGGTTCATTATGTAACTTATATAGAAAATGAGTAATCTTACACAATGTTTGTGGTTAATTTTCTACGTTGAGTGTTGTAACAGGTAAAGGCATAAAATTACTCATTATAATGTGATACCCCACCAGTGATGAATGGTGTAAAAAAAAAGTTTGTAATTTTAGGATAAATGGCCAAATTCTATTTATGTAACTTTGTGGACTACTAGTATTGTTATATGCACTTGAGTAGAAACATAACATAATTTGTAATACTACTAAAAAGTAAATATGAAGCCTGATCTATCCTGATCAATTCACCACTTTACACTGAGTTATACGAGTTTGGGAGAATTTCATCAGTAACCATAGACAAGGACAGTTCGAAAGTATAAGACTAAATCTCATATAGTGGTGGAGTGTATATAATGTGTATGGTCTTATAACCGTTTTTTACTTGTGTAGTAATCCTATATTTACGTTGGAATTTAAAGAGTTTGTGGAATTGAGGCTACTAATTTAATCTTGTGAATTATTCAACCAGACACACTGTTTAAAATACTGAAAAATAAATATGAAGTACAAGCTATCATTCCGTTTACCACTTGTTACTGGGTAATACCGGTTACTAAAGCCTAAAAATTGTAAGAGATTTTTATATATTTACACAATCCATATTTTGTACATAAAAAACAGCTATTCAAACACTTGCATAACAGAGATCTGAAGATTCTGGCCACAAAATGACGAGAATAGTTAAATACAATTAGCTACAGAGAATTGAATTCTACTGCTCCAGATTCTGGCAACAAATCAAACATAATGACCTAAGGAGGCCGAAATATTGTTTGTTATTTCATGTTTTGAATAAAAGTTTTTAATACACATATCAGCCATCTCTACTATACATATATTTACTTCAAGTGGGTTCCTTGTTGTCACGGATGACAAGAAACAATTTTAAAGATGCCTAGCTACATCATCTGGTAGTTTACTTCTTTTAAAAGTTTGTTACTCAACAAGATATAGTTTAGTATCTCTATAGTTCTAACCAACTGAAGTGAGATTCATAAGATAGTTTGGGTTTTATTATTTACAAAAACTTCCTTTAAATACAAATATTAGCCTTGATTAATGATCTAAACAGATATTACATCATTAATACAAGTTCACAGCACGCGTGGTGTAGAAATACATGTGCATTGGCATGCTGTATTTGAATTATTTTTGTAATACAACTGTGATACCATGATATAGATCATCAACGGTGATGTAGACAATAAATCACAAAACGGAACAGAGACTCTGACACAAGCTAGAATAAAAAATAAATTCTGGAATTGAAATGAACATGGTTGTTTTAAATTATTGGAAACAATGTTGTATCTTAGTTTCCAATTATTAAAGTCTGCAGTAATGTGATATTCTGCCAAGTTTAGATACTGATCTTGTAATTACAACTTCTGTAAATAGTAGTTGAGTTTGAAATGTTATTTAAATGATTACTCAATAAAAAAAGTAAAACTGAAATAACAATTTTCCACTGAAGGTTGTACGTGAATTATCGGTTCATGAGAGGAATAGAACAGCAGTTTCTTGCCCTCCAGAAAGGTTTCAATGAGTTGATTCCTCAACATCTTCTAAAATCATTTGATGAGAAGGAGTTGGAGGTGAGATTTAGGTTAAAATAACATCAAGTACCAGGGGACAGAATTGGAAAAACTATTGAAGAATGATACGTTTCTCAGGAGGACCTTTGAAATCAATGTGGAGTTGTTTATGTTTATTTGATGGGATTGAAAGAATTACATATTAGTTTGTTTAATAAACATAACCCACTGTTATACACTAATTTATTGTACAAACTAATATGTAATTCTTTCAATCCCATCAAATAAACGTAACCCACTGTTATACACTAATTTAAACTAATATGTAATTCATTTCAATCCCATCAAAAAGTACAATAAATTAGTGTATAACAGTGGGTTATGTTTACTTGATGGGATTGAAATGAATTACATATTAGTTAGTACAATAAATTAGTGTATAACAGTGAGTTATGTTTCCTTGATGGGATTGAAATGAATTACATATTAGTTTGTACATTAAGTTAGTGTGTAATAATCAGTTCTGTGTGTTTGATTGGATTGAAATTCATTATGTGCTAACTCATAATTAAAATTAAATTTTAAGTGTGAGTGTTAGTTAAGGTGTTTTTTGTATGATTCAAATAACTGAGTAATAATTGCATAAACAAATGTTGCTTTGGTACAGCTTTTGATTGGAGGGCTAGGAAAGATAGACTTGGAGGACTGGAGACTTAACACACGTCTCAAACATTGTACTCCTGACCACAACATAGTCAAGTGGTTCTGGAAAGTGGTAGAGTCGTATAGTGAAGAACGTCGTGCCCGTCTTCTCCAGTTCGTCACAGGAAGTTCACGTGTTCCTCTGCAAGGCTTCAAAGCTTTACAAGGTGAGGCTAGAAGACAGCTATTGTGTCGAGACTTATTGTATAGAGAGAGGTTTTAGGTCTAATTCTCAGAAGATATGATTATTGAATGTTTTAAACAACCAAACTTATGAGTATGAGGTAATAACAATAAATATGTAGTTAAGAAGGAAGATTCTCAAGGGAAGTGAATATTTAAAAGAAATTAGGAACATTTATTTATCTTTGTATGACCATTATTTAACATATAATGCTGCATGTTATTTTGAAGATGTAAGAATTCAGAATGTTCTTACCTGTAGACACTTCACAGCTTTTCTTGTTTAAGGCATGGTTGTTTTGTTGTCAAGTTTATCTAATAGACTTAACCGTGATGATACTGTTGGCATCACTGGAACTGTGCATTAGATGTAAGTGAAGACTTCCTGAATTTGATTTGTATTTTTTTTGCCCTTGCTATCTTTGCTAATTTACTCAATGTTGATGTTAAACTTTTTGATGAATGTGGGTGGACATTGCTACATCAGCAGACATGTGTCATGTGGGTGATCCTTGCAACATCAGCAGACGTGTCATGTGGGTGGTCTATGCAACATCAGGAGAAATGTGTCATGTGGGTGGTCTTTGCAACATCAGGAGAAATGTGTCATGTGGGTGATCCTTGCAACATCAGAGAAATGTGTCAAGTAGGTGGATATTGCTGCATCAGAAATGTGTGATGTGGGTGGACATTGCTACATCAGGAGAAATGTGTCAAGTGGGTGAACATTGCTACATCAGGAGAAATGTGTCATGTTGGGGGACATTGCTGCATCAGGAGAAATGTGTCAAGTGGGTGAACATTGCTGCATCAGGAGAAATGTGTCAAATGGGTGAACATTGCTGCATCAGCAGAAATGTGTCATGTGGGTGGACACTGCTACATCAGGAGAAATGTGTCAAGTGGGTGGACACTGCTACATCAGGAGAAATGTATCATGTTGGTGGACACTGCTAAATCAGGAGATTCTACAGAAATCTTAGAAACCAGTTCTTTTTTTTTAAATCATATTTGAGAATAGAACCAATGTACATATGGAAAGTACATACAAGTCTCTCTGAATGGAGAATAGGATAT